GCAAAAAGAACACAATTTCCTCTAACTTTCAAAATTTTTCTTGCTTTCTTACTATGCGACAAGAGCCTTACAAATTCATCCAAGCTAGACATTAAGTTTCTCATGCATATGTTGCTTGTACTCTGAGTGAAATTGACTATTATTTGTTCAGAACACAACGTTATATGATATGTCACTTGATAGATGAAAATCTTGACTTTTTATAGTTATGGGTAATGCATAATTAAACATAAGAGAGAACTATTAACAAATCCTGAAAGAGAGGATTTGGTAGGAGGGATCTGATTTACTATTCAATAGCTCTATAACTAAACAGAATTGAAGGCTATAAAAATTATGGTTCGTTTGAGCAATGACGATTCTATAGGGATAATTTACATTTAATTTCATACCTTTTCAAGGGGTGTTTGATAAAATAGAGGAGACAAGATGGTTAGAGAAAATGTCATGAGTGTCACACTGGGGGAAATTAGGTTTTTTTTAATATTACCTAGTAGAATTAGGAACTTAAAACTTGTATATTATTAAAATATGGATTATTAGCTATGATTTTATGCTATACTAATTGGTATAACACAAACAGAAGGTAGTTTAATAATATTTTGAACGTAGGACACTAAAGCTTTCTGTCATGCATAGTAAAGGATACCTGGACCAAAAGGGTTATATTTATTCCATTTAGGCTGTCCTATCCACTAAATAAAACTAAAATAACCCTCAAAGCCAGCCCTTGTCTATCAAATATTTAGCAAATTTTCCCTTAAATTAACTATCTACCACACCTGAAGGCAACCTGTTCCAAAGGCCAATCACCCTGTTAGAAAGGAAAAAAAAAGTTGTCTTAGCTGAAGATAACCCCTACTCTGCTTAAAATGTATATTTGTGTTCCCTAGTCATATCATTCTCACCATTAAATACAAAAAAAGACGATGCACCAACACTTTCAATTCATTTAATAATCTTGAACACCTCAGTCAGATCCCTTCTAAAACTTCTTTTTTTTTTGAAGAAAAATCCTCATATGACAACATTTCCATCCCAGGTATCATCCTAGTAACTTTCCTCTGGACCCTTTCCAACAGTTCAGTGTCTTTTCTAAGGTAAGAAGCCCAAGACTGAACAGAGTACTATGTGGCCAAACCATTGACCTATACAGTGATATTATAACCTCTTTAGACTCGTATTTAGTATTTCTGTAGATACAACCTAAAATCGTATTTGCCCTGCCACTAGCAACAGCACATTGCAATGCCACAAGAGACTGATGAACCAGAACACCAAAATCTTTCTTCCATAACACTGTTAAGGTTATTCCTGTATTTTAAGTAAATATCAATAATGGTGTAACAATTTCATGCACACAAAATTTACCCTGATTCTGTGTTCTCTTTCTTTTTTCACATTCTTGTGAATTCTGAACAAATTCAAAAATGTAATACCCTAACAGTTTTTCATAGAGAAATTGCCAAATTATTTTTGGATTTGATGAAAAAACATTATAGGATATATTTAATTTTTCCCAGCTTATTTGAAAACTCATCAATTGGTAATGGAGCATAGCCAGGGAAGCACAGCTGAAGGAACTTCCTCTTCAGCTCCATCAACACCAACCCCCTCTGTAGGAACTCCAACAGGGGTGACTTCACCTATAACCCCCACAACACTATCATCAGGATTTACAGAAGCTGGAACTACATCACATACACCTACACCTCCTGTTGCAATTCCTAGTCACCCTGCTTTTAGCCAGTCTACTTCAGGGGGACAGCCAGTGCCATCTCCTGTTCACATGACTTCTCAGGTGTCAGCTTGTCAGGTGTGATATTCAGTTAAAAATTCATTTTATTTAGTTTTAAGATTTATCTAAAAAAATTAATAATTTTTGCTATGATAGTACAAAATTATGTTTTAAAAATATTGTCATTATTATTATTTTTTAAACTATGTTTTACTGTAACAATTTATAGAGCCCATTATCTCCTGCTCATCCACAAAGATCTCCAGGGCCATCTAGAGTAGCAACTTCAATCAGTCCATTAATCCAAGTGTCAAGGGTGAGACCTCCTATAGACACCAATCAGTTACCCCCTGGGGATCCATACTCACAACCACCTGGCACACCACGACCTGTTTCAGCTCCTGATCAATTCCTGGCTCGCCAACGACCCAGTCTCATCTATCGAACGCCTCTGACACAGCCAAGGCCTTTATTCTCACCAATGTCTCCGGGCAGTCAGCCTCGAACAGAGTCTCAAACATCAGGTCAAGATGTTTTTCAAGCCTCACCTGCAACACCAAGTACAGATCCCTATAGTCAACCACCACCCACCCCTCGTACTGTTATGCCTCAAGATCCATATACACAGCAGCCTTCCACACCACACCCTGCTGCCAGCCCATACTCACCATCTACTGGATCTCGTCCTTCATCAGCAACTCTTACTTCCATGGACCCTTACTCCCAGGCTCCACCAACACCTCGCCCCCAGCAGTCTGTGCCTGATCACTTACCTTCACCAAGTGGAACTTCAGCTACAAGATATGTTCCAGACTTGACCCGTTCTCAACCTCCATCACACTCTTCAGCTGATCCTTACTCTCAGCCTCCATTAACTCCTCGACCTGTTTCTACACCACAAATGATGAATGACCCTTATGCCAAGCAGCCAGCAACGCCTCGGCCTACACATGTTCCAGGTACCACTGCAGTTGTCTCACATCTGCTAGGAGAACCTGGTGTTTCTCATCCTGAGCAGACTCTTGCAGTTAGTATTGCTGCAGGAATGAAGGCTGAAGCCCCTCAGATGCCAAGACAGCAGCTTAGGGACTTGCTTCAGAGACAGCAACTAATTAAAGAGCAGATGATGAGAGAACAACAAGGTCAGATACCTCTTCGACATTGGCCTCCAGGTGAGAAACATATATGTCATAATCTTCCCTTTTAGGGTAGAGTTTGAAGAAACTAAAACTGGAGTTGTAGAATATGATTTAAGTTTCACGTGAAACATCTGCTGCCAATATCATTTGATACAGTGTGAGGGGATATTAGTTGAAGCCACTGTATACCAACTTAAATCATTATTAAAGTTTTATATCCGAAATATACATTAAATGCTATTTTTGTTCAAGTTACTATTATTAATGAAATATTAAAATGATTTGATTATTTTTTAATATCACTATTGTTATTATATGTGTGTCTTTGTGTTTGTAATTTAATCTAATTTTTTACTCATTGTAGATTGACCTGATAAATGGTCTTGGTGACAAAATTAGAATTTCGCTATTCAGTATGTTACAAACAAGTAGATCAGTTTATCAGCATGTGAATACTTTTCCAATTATTATTACCCAAACAGAAGTGGCTACCAGCAGAACAACTCTTGTAAGGATAGGTACTTCACAGGTTGCAGGTGGACAGGATAGTGTCAAATTCCACACACAGCAAGGAATAAATACACCCAGTGAGTTTGGCTAAAGCAGAAGCTTTTGTAACTTAAGGGGGAAACATAGAAATTTTAAAGTTTAGAGCATTTGAGATTGTCAGTGTATAAGTATAACAACATATATTGAGTGTTGAAAGTAACTTGATTAAAGTGCCCTGGAAAAACTGTCAACAGAGGATGTTTGAGAAAAACATGTGTTAATTTATTTGCAGATTTTTTCCTTGTATATTTCATAATCATATGTATTTAATTCAGTATCTTTAACCTCTAGAAACTGTAATTGGAGCTCCTAGAGGAATTGGAATGGAAGATAGTTTTAGGCAACCTTTACCACCTGGAATGAGACCTCGTAAGTTTAACATTTGATGATACTTCTACTTGAATCCTTTCTGCTTTGGCAAGTTTTCAATTAGAAACTCAATGAGTTGGTTTAATTGTGATATGTAATATATTTAACTATATTTTCAAACACAGACAGTGGAAACATTAAAAAAGGGTAATCAATAAACATTTTTATTTTACTAAAATTAAGCTTCACTAACAAAAAATTTTCTGCATATTTAAAAACATTTGCACCATGTTTTTTTCTTATTATACATGTTATTGTATGAAAGAATCATGCCATGCATGCATCTATCCTACAGTTGTGCTGTATCTTGTTCTGTTGTAGACTCTACAGTATAGGTAGTGATATTTTAAGATCTCATGAAATGAAAGTTTGTAACAAAAATTAGAATTTTGTATAACATTTAAGATAAGCATTACATCCTTATATGGTAGTTAAATTTGTGCTTTTGATAATTTTACATTAGTAGAAAATTTTTAGACTAGAGCGTACTTTCATGAATATTATATTATTAAACAATAAGCAAAAGAATTAAATATTGATAAAATGTATACATTCTGATCACTTTTTTTAACATCAAACTTATTTTTACACATTCAAGGTCTTTAACTTCACATTCAATATTTATTGAGCAAGATCTCATTTCCTCTTTAAAATTAGATTGACTTCTCTCTCATAAGTGTACAGTATTGTTGAAAAGAATAATAATGTATTTCTCAGTTGTTGTAATTCTTTGTGTTACATTTTATATTATTGTAATGATAGGTTTTGTTAATGCATTTGCTACAGTATCTTTTAAAACTGTTCATGTTACATATAAGAGATGCTCCAAGAGAAAAGTTGAAAGCTTGCTCAATAAATATAGAACCAGAATATAAAACACTTTTGAATTATTATTATTTTTTATCATCATGAAATCTGATTTTACTTTTTTTTCACCTAATTTTATTTTTTCTATAAAACTTGCATCATTTTTGGTGGACCCTTGTATGTTAGGGCCTAGACACATTTCATGTATCTTTTCATATGCCACTGGTAACCATAGATGTCTTAATTTAGAGAGATTATTTACATTCATTGATAGCTTTCCACAGACAAATTAAGATAATTAAGTTCTTTCAATAAAATTATCATTTAAATGTTTCACAGAGATTTAAGTAATATTTATATAGAACATAATTATATTCTGGATCTCTACTCATTAACAAGTACTGAGAATAAATCAGCTAAAAATCAAGTACTGAGAATAGTCAGTCATATTTGAAACTCAGTAAAGCAGTTCATAGTCATTCTTTGTAATCTGTGGAAGAAAGATATTATTTGAAATGTTTTAAAATAAAACTTAAAATTAAGAAAATGTAATATAAACAGTTATGAAGTTTTTATTGTGTAAAGCTATCATCAAAACTACACATCGTTGACTAAAGGTCCATCTTCATTTGTTTAAAGCTTGTGAAGTTTAACAAGAACAATACCCTTTGCAAATAAGTCATTAGCTTTTACAATAATATTTTATTTTAACAATAACATGAGGTTTTGGAGGACATGTTTAGATAAAACTTTTTTTTTTAAATTGTTATGTTTGTTGTAATTCTAAAACAAGCATTAACAGATTTTTTCATGTTTTGTAGGTGTTCCTACTAGTCCTGATCAGCCATTTAGTCATCCAATTTCAGGATTAGAACATAAACTTGGAAGTTTGAGAGGACAAGTAGACCCACGTCTACGAATGATTTTTCTGCAGCAACAGCTTCAACTGAGAGGTCAAACATGGTCTCCAGGACAGATGAGGATGGCAGGCCCTAGTCCTCGTATGTCTACAGGTTTTGGAGGAAATGTTAATGAACCCTTTGACTCACAACCTAAACAACAAACTCCACAGCCACGACAACAGATTTTGGCTGGTATGAAAATAAAGAAATCTGTACTGTTCTTACTATAATGGGAGTAATATGTAGTATGAATATTTATATAACCAGAAATATGGGTTAATGGTATACAAAGACATACTTTGTAATAGATAATTAATATCTTTAGAAATTCAAATTTTAGTTGTTCATGGCTTGAGATTTATTAATTGTGTACTATGTAATTACGAAACTTCCTAAGCAAAGTAGTGTGATGAATTTATTTCCATTAATAAAATTAATTATTCATTAAAAAAGACAATAAATATGTTTTGAGGTCATTATTGTTATTGCAGGAGATATGCTAGGTAGATTTGGTCAGCCAGCAGTGTGTACTCCACTAACCGACATTCAGCAGCATAGATCAACAGCAACACTTTCAACATTGCCTCAGGCTAGAATAGAAGGTATCTGTTCTCCTATTCAACATCCTTTCCCAGTAGCCTGCTCTGGATTGACCCATCCCACTGCTTCAGCTGCTCAGAGTTTGACTCGTCTTGCTGCTTCTTCAAACTGTGCTTTTAGCCAACCAGTGCCCACTGTTGGGGTAATGTCTCATGTTTCTCAGCAAGCTTCTTCATTTACTGGCCAGCCAACCACTGTGCTACAGCAACAGCCAGGAAGTGTCCCAGAACATCTTGCCATAAGACACACTGTGACCTCTACCGCTAGCCTAAGCAAGTCTGATCTTTCTTATCCAGAACAGGCATGTGTGTCTGAAACTAAAACTGAATCTAGTTTATTGGTAGCTTCTGATTTAGAAGAAACTCCACGTAGGAGAACCACTGCAGAGGATCTTGTGAAGGTAGTAGAAGAACAGTCTGTGTCTCATGAGGCTGAAAGTGAAATGGGAGATGAATTGGATGATGATGAATTGTTAGGTAAGAAATGGAGACATCAGATATTAAGTAAATGTTTTCACTGTAGCACATTAGGTCTGTTTTTCAGAGTTTAATAAATCTATCAACATAAACCTCTTGAATTTTGAACTTGCTGAATAAGTTTATGAATTACAGTTTTCTTATCAAAAGAAAATACAAGAAGCTACATTGTATTATGTCCTTCCGCTACTACTATAATCAGGATTGTTTCTGTATGATTACATCAAGCATCCTGGGCACATGGGTGATACATTTTGTGGAAAAATGACAAAAGACAAGTGGGTGTTTGGGTATAAGTAAAGTGAAATGCTTAAAGTGTGGTTAAAGTTTTTACAAAATCAAGTTATCCTATTTTTGTACTGTCCACATTTCATGCTATTGTAACAAATTATTATCCTTAGCAAAAGTATGAATAAATCTGGATGTTGTATCACCATCTCAAGTTAATCGTAGAAAAATATATAAAAAGTTTTCAACTAACAGAATACTTTCCCAGTGAAATAAAACTAATGTAAATTTACTAAATTGATTGGCCAGAAATGTAATAATCCAATTTGATAAAGCTAATTAGCAATTTTTAGATTTCTTTTCATAATATACAACAAGGTTTCACCTCGGTACTTGATGTTTCATTTTTGCATAATTATTGATTATGTAAAATTTCTCAGTCATGAGTTGAGTTTAGGTGTTCTCTAATTGTTTTGACTCATTCTGTTTTTTTTCTAATCCAGGCTATAATTCTTTTGTTATAGTTGTAATGAAGTTTTCGTATCTACACACATTTTCTTATTATTAATGAGGCTGAGTTTTTGTTTACTTGTAGGTTTGATTCACACTTGCAACTCACCAAGAAAATTAGTCAGAGGGTTTCATAGATAATTTATTGGACTGATACAAAATTGTTAAGAAATAAATATACAGTGTCAGTTCTACAAATAACACTAAAATAATTTATTGAGTAACTATTGTCTTCTCAAGATAATTCTTGTAACCAATTATGTAATATGATTACTGCGTGCTTCAGGAACAGTCAGTATATTTCAAGATTTCATAAACTTCACAGAATGTGTGTGTGTGTGTGTATATATATATATATATCACTATTATTGCTGTTAATGCCAACTTTGCTTATCATATGTTAAATTATTTAAACTTTACTTCCAGGCCTTGGGAATGATTTCAATATTTTGGAATATGCTGATCCAGAACTTGTTGACAAAGGACTGCTTGGAGATGGAGGGAAAAATAATATTTTAGATGAACATCTTGATCTGGATGACAAAGATGAGGATCTTGAAGAGGGTAATTCTGTTGAAATAAAACCAAAAACTGAGACAGAAGATAAAGTATGTAGAAATGGTATAAAACAAGAAACTTGTATTGCACCTACTGTAGGAAATGATAAGAAAATTGAAAAGGAAGAGAAAAACTTTCAAGATGGATCAGAAGGTAGACTTGGCCCTGATGATTTTCAAGCTAAGTTTTTAGAATTTAGTCAGCGTAGAGATTTAGAGAAAGTGAAAGATATAAAGGAGGGGGATTTGCTCGAAGATGGTCATGTGGCATCTTCAAACATTAAGAAGTCTGATGAACCAGATCCTAAATCAGTAACTCAGGCGCCTATTGTGTCCCATGGTAGTCAGGAGTCTGTAACAGACAACCAACATGTTCGGAGTGTTGTTAGAGTGGCACCAACAGAATCTGCTGACCCTTTGCTTATGACATCAAGTTCATCTGTACTACAAGCACATCCAGTAAATATTGGAGTAATACCAGCACCTCAAAGACTTTCAACTATAAATCAGTCAACTTCATCTATGCATACTCCAAGTGGTCAAGGACCTGTAGGAATTCCACAGCTTCCAAATCAAGTGCGCTTATCTCACCCTGCACGTTACATCCCAAACTTGCCTCCTCCACCCCCATATCCTGACAATGCTCACTCTGGTCAACCTCCTCCTGCTTTACCACAGCCTCAACAGAGAATTGTAATACAAAGGCCAGGTCACACAGTTACTGTAATTCGCAGACCCTTGCAGCCACCTGTTCCTGTCTCTGTAACTAATCAGAGTGACCGGCGTCAATTGATGCAGAACCAACCACTACTATTAGAAGAACTGGTTGAGCAAGAAAAGCAGGAACAACGAAGACAAAGTCAAGAAGGTCTGATGTCTCCCCCTGCTGATGCACTTCTCAGTGATGTTGATTTTGAACGATTAAAAGCTGATGTGCTCTCATGTCCCCCTGATGATACCATTGGAGGTCCTGGTCCATTGCTACCTACTCAGGGCTCACCTCAACCAGCAGTTGCTTCTCTGGGTAGCCCTAAACCATCAGGAACTATCCCCCCACAGTTTTTCCATCAGGCATTACCACGACCCCCATCTCAACAACCTGTAGGTTGGCAAGGTCATCGTCAAATTCTTGTGTCACCTCCAGGATCCAGACTTCCAGGGTCTCTTCATCCAGGTCAAGTGCATCATTTAGGAATATCAAATGTTCCTGCAGGAATGACTTTACAGAGAGGGCCCATGATTCATGGAGAACCTCATGTCAGACATGTTATTTCTTCTAGACCAGCTTCACCAGGCATGTTCCTTTTTTTTTTAATACCATTTCAATAGAAATTAAAAGTAATTTATTTTTTGTTTTCTCTTTTTGTACATGGTGTTATAAAGGTTTAGCATCCAGTCTTTATGATTTTATTAATCACAAACAGTATACCCAAAATAAATAAGTATATATGTAAAAATGTACATTTTAGAATTTCTGATATATTAGTTTAAAACAGTTGTACAAAAAAAGACAAAAGGAAAACTGTCATTTTGATTATTTAGTCCATTGCTTTCACAATAATCATGTTGATGTTTTCCTTTTGGTTATAGAAATCAGTATTACCTCAGACTTTAAAAAAGTGGTATGTTTTTAACACAATTGCATTTTAATATATATTCAGGGTTTTCCTTGTTTGTTTTTTCAGGAAAGGCCTATATGGAAATTTTGAGTGGCATTTTTTACTATTTTAAGATATCTGGTATTAGAGAGAACAAAATCAAACCAATAAAGTATTGAATAGAATATGATCATAATCTACTTTAAACTTTTAGAAAAAAGTATCAAAGTATAAAGTGTGAGCAGTTTGTTTGTATTTCTCAAAAAGCTGCAGTCTGCTGACCACAGAAATTTTTAAAAAATTATACTGATGTGCTGTCAATCACTCAAAAGTCACAGACTGCCTTCTTTAAAAAATGTTCACAGTTATTAATTTGTTACTGTGAAAAATTCTAATTGTTTATCTGCTTTAGCTTCACATTCACAAATTCTGATACAATACCTTATCTCAACTCACATAATAGCTTTCCTCAATTTGTGCTGCACAATTTTTCACTTGCCACTAGCCTTGAGATTCCTACCTAACATCACATGTTTATACGTCGAATAGCTGCATTGCAACATGCAAATGAGTGTGATACACCCTCCTAGCACAGCTGATTTCCTTTATTCTGTAGAGCACAATCATCACTTCTCAGTTTGGCACTTGTATGTAATGATGTGTCCTTTTTTGCTGGTGAACTCTTCAGATATGAGTGTTTTTCAGTGGAAGTATTGAAAGTGGAAGGCATTGTTTCACAAGTGTAAGTAACATCCACTTTGTCTGGTCTGAAACAACATGACTTTGTTCATGCTAGCCTACCAACTACATTGGTAATGGGTTTGTTTTTGTCTTTTGATATAGGTAATGTATTTTGCCTTCTTTTGTCCCTGACATACCTCTGCCTATGTTTCTCATTTGTGACATAATGGATTTTGCTGTTTATTTCCCACCTACCTTTGCCTCACCTTGTACCTATGTTGTCTTGATTCTACCTCAGTCTTTTTTTTTGTTATTTTGTGACTAGTTTTCTCAAGTACGTTTTTACATATTCATTTATTTTTACCACTACTTTGGGGCATACATGCCTCATCATCCTTACTTTGTTATCTCACATGACTAGGCATGACTTCATGCTGTATTGTTTTTTTTTAACTTCTAAACTCTGGAGTCTTCTCTTCTGACATGAGTATCAGATCCTCTGTCTTTTGTTCTTTTTCCTTAGTCTTAAGTTTTTCTTCTTTAACCTTCTTTCCATGGTAATCCACCATTCCCCTATGGGGTTTTTAATGGATACTCTTTCAATTTTATTTTTTCTACAGTGGAATGTTTATTTTCATTCGCATTTTCACTTCTTATTTGGTTGATCTTTTGTTAGAGTTAGTAGAGGTGTGATACCCTTGTTACTCAATTGCTTTTGCCTCCTTTATATCTCATATGCTTTTTTTCTGGCCCCTTTCATCTACGTTTATGATTTTACTGGTATGTTTGTTTCTCAGGTGTCATATGCTGGGTCTGCATGCCAATGTTATGCCTTTTCCTCACTGGTTTACCATCTCTTTCATGCTCCTTCATTGCCTCTGTGTCCTGTCCTGCTTCTCTCATGGTCACCATTTCACATTCCTCTTCCCACCACTCATAGACTTTGGGGCTGTCAGTCTAGGCGATGACTGTCATATAGGCTCAGGGTTAGTAGGGCCTGTTTCATTTGATTTATATACTTTTGCCATCCATTTGGAATCAATTGTTGAATACTAGGATTTCTATCAGAGAGCTATAACCTTTGCTTTCCCTCTCCTCCTCCAATGTCTCCTGTGCCCATTATTTTAAATCCTCCAAGGGATCTTATTGCTTGCCAACATTGGTCTATGGCAGTGTTGGTCTTAATGGCTACAATTGCTATTGGATGGGTTTCTCATCCTTTTCCAGGTTTTTGTTCCCATTATTTTGTGGTTCCCAGGGAATTTATAGATAGGTGTTGAGTCTTGCATCTTTCATGTCTCAGTCAGTTTCTTGTCCTCCCTCTCTTTCTCATGGGGAATTTCTCACTCTACAGTGGGCTTTTGCCACAGGTCTTTGGATGACCGAGATGGACATCTCAGATGCTTCTTTTTTGTTTGGCTTTGTCCCAACAAGCCTCTTACAGCCATCCTCTTCTCCTCCTTGGGAGGCAGTGCATCTGGTTTGGTTCAACTTGGAGGATCACATGTCACACCCATGTCATTTCCCATTGATTTGAATGTTTTTTTACTTGTATGTCTACTCTTCTTTTGAGGGACATGGAGTGATTGGTCTCCCATGCCATATCCTCTTTTTCCCTCACTGTATGGGAGGTTCTTACTGTTTTGGGATTCCATGGAATCCCATATTCCCTTGGGTTGTGTTCATTTGTGACATCTACAATGAACTTCACATTCTCTGGATCCTTGCTAGGGATCCCTTAATCTCAACCATTCTCCTTCACCCTTTCTTACTCAGATACTTCACCTGGTGACTTGATAAAATTACTCCCATAGTGAGTATTCCTCATCCTCACATTCAGGTTGTCTTCTGTTTCCAGATG